GCTTCAGGCTGGGGGGAGGGACTATTTGCAGTTGGAGCCCAGCCCAAACGCTTCCCCTCAGCCCCCCTGCGCCTCCCCCCCCCCCCCCCCCCGGCAAGGAGGAACCCCGAGGGACCCCTCCTCCTTTCTCTGCCGCTGCTGCTATGGAAACCAGGGGGGGGGAACACTCCGGGCTTTTTGAACTGGCTGGAAGGAGGCGGGGCCTTGGCAAGGGAAGCGCCCTCCGGAAAGGGGGGAAAGGCCAGTGCCAGCCTCCGTGGATCAGGGCCAGCTGCAATGGGCCCAAGGAGGCCGGGAGCCCTGAGCTGCCCAGGAACAAGGAAGGGCTCATCCCCAGCTGCAATTCACTCCAGGGAGTTACTCCTTAGGAGTGTGTGTGTGTGTTGTAGTTTATCAGATTGACACAGGTTGACACAGACTTCTGTCCTTCTGAGGTCCATAAAATGAGGACCCGGGTTGTTGGGGACAAGAGGCTGACTCTGTAAACAGCTTAGAGGGGGCTGTAAAAGCCCTGTGAAGGGGTATATAAGTCTAAGTGGAATTGCTATTCTTCCCTCCCTCCTTCCCTCCCTTTTCTCCCTTCTTCCCTTCCATCTTTCTCTCCACTTTCTCCCTTCTTTCTCTCCCCTCCTCTCCCTTCCTTTCCTTCTTTCTCTCCCTCTTTTCCTTCTTCCATTCCCTTCCTCCCTCCCTTTTCCCCCTTCCTTTCTCTGCCTACCTTTCCTCCAGTCCTTCTTTCCTTTCCTTCCTCTCCCCACTTTCTTCTTTCTCTCTCCCTTTCCCACTCCCTCCCTCCCTCCCTTCCTTCCTGCCATGGTGGCACAGTGGTTAGAAGGCACTATTGCAGGCTAGCTCTGCCCACTTCCAGCAGTTGGATCCCGACTGCCTCAAGGTTGACTCAGCCTTCCGTCCTCCTGAGGTCACTAAAATGAGGCCTCAAGATTGCTGGGGGGGTCTCTCAACTCGCGAGAGGGGGTTGTAAAGCACTAGGAAACAGTACAAAAGTCTTCTAGGTGCCATTGCTAGATTTTCTCAAAATTTATAATGCATTTCCCCCCCTTAAGAGTGAAGGGGGGGGTTATAATAATTGGTTTTCATTTTTTTTAATTTCTTTTTTTTCCCGGGAGTTGATGGCAAGACGAACTGATGTAATTAATAATTAGTACAATATGATATTGGCTATGTAACAGTATACATGAGATTATATGTTATGGAAAATGGAAAATAAAAATGTTTTGCTTAAAAAAAAAAAGAGGGGGGGGAAATAAAATAAAATGTGGCCTCTTTTTTGCCTGCTGCAAAAGTACCAGCTGTGCTTTTTCTAGGCTTATTTCCTTACAGCTGTTGGGAGCCATTCTTCGTCTCCCAGAGAGGAGAGGAAAAAGGGTGTGTGTCCGTGTGTCCGTGTGTGTGTGTCCGTGTGTGTGTGTATCCGGATGCCCCAAACCTCTTTACCTTCCGGCGCACGGTGCAGCGATGGCACATCCATTCCCCGGGAGGCAGCATCTCCTCGCTCAACGGAGGGTTGCTGTGGGAGGAGAACAAGAAGCACAAATGAGTTGTGTAGGTCCTGGAAACCTCGGCAAAGCGTGCGGAGATTCGACAACATCCCAGGCGACAAGCAGAGCAGGTTCCGCTTCTGCGTCCTGCTTGGATCCCTTGGGTCGTTTTCTGTTGTTGCCCTCCTTTGCTCGGGAGAGAGGAATTCTCCCAGTTTTTAAAAAAATATTATTATTATTATTATTACAAATAACTCAAGGCGGCGCAAACATATCTAACATCTCTCTCCTCCTCCTATTTCCTCCTCCACAACAACAACCTTGTGAGGCAGTCCAGGTTGAGAGAGAGATAGATTGGCTCAAAGTCACCCAGCTGGCTTTCAGGCCCAAAACAGAACTAGAACTCCCTGACTCCTGGCGATTGGCCCCAAAGTCACCCAGCTGCCTTTCAAGCCTAAGGCGGGTCTGGAACTCCTCACCTGCTGGCGATTGGCCCAAAGTCACATAGGCGGCTTTCACAGCCAAATGCAGGAAAGTCTTTGGCGTTCTAGCCCAGTGCTTTAACCACTAAACCAGACTGTTCCTCCTATGAGAAACTCCCAAGGAGCTGAACTCCTTCCTCTGGGCAGCCTAAGGGTTCTGCTCCCTGGTTTGCTCCTTCCCTGGGACCCCACAAGGGCATCCTGGGACTGGTCACCTGAAGCCTCCTGTGAGTGACCAAAGGCTTCTAACGCCACATTTTCATCCCAAGGTAAACACGGCTGCGCCTTCTGATAGCAGCTGAATTTTCTCACCCCTGAGCTGCCCAGGACAAGCCTTGCAGAGTATGGAGACAGCAAGAGTCCCTACATGGAAAGAATGACTTGTGACCACTTTTCACACTTATGACCGTTGCAGCATCCCCAACCGCAATGGTCACGTGATTTGTATTTGGCTGCTTGGCAGATAACTCACTTTTACGAAGGTCGCAGCATCCCCGGGGTTACGTGATCCCCTTTTGCGAGGGGCAAAGTCAAAATGGAAGCCAGCTTCACTTAACAACCGGGTTACTGCCTTAACAACTGCGGTGATCCACTTAATAACCATGCGAAGAAAGGTTGTAAATTGGAGCAAAGCTCACTTAAAAATATGTCTCCGTCAGCAACATAGATTTTGAGCTCAATTTTTGGTTGTAAGCCACTACATCGCAAAAAAGATGTGGAGGCTTTGGAAAAAGGGCAAAGAAGAACAACTGATGAAAGGCCTGGAGGATAAAATGTGGGAAGAACGGAATTGCAGGATTTGGGTATGGCCAGAAAAGAAGGACCAGGGGGGACATTGATAGCAACATTCCAGTATTTGAGGGGCTGCCCCAAAGAGGAAGGGGTCAAGCTATTCTCTAAAGCACCAGAGGGCAAGGCAAGAAGCAAT